TCTCTCTCTCTCTCTCTCTCTCTCTCTCTCTCTCTCTCTCTCTCTGGAAGAGAATAAAAGTAAATGCACATGAAATATAAATGCAACGCTTGCTGATTAAAATGATATGAAATGATTCCTAAACTTATGAAAGATTCAAATATGCCCAAACTCAAGTTAAATACATATTAGAGTTCTTTTTTCCAACTGAACAGCAGGGAACATTCTCTTAAATTCTATCAAGTCCTGTACTTTAGGATCTCTTACAGTCACTGGGGTTAAAGGGATTTTTTTTTTCTAAGCAGAATACAAAGGCCTTAGCAAAGAAAGTATCTTAATACATGTTTGTTTTCTTCTAGATTTGTTGGTATTAACGCATCTGATATCAACTATTCAGCTGGCCGATATGACCCATCGCTGAAGCCTCCCTTTGACATAGGGTTTGAAGGTATTGGTGAGGTGGTGGCCTTGGGCCTCTCTGCTAGTACCAGGTACACAGTGGGCCAGGCTGTGGCTTATGTGACCCTGGCTTCTGGTTCCTTTGCTGAGTATACAGTTGTGCCTGCCAGCATTGCCACTCCTGTGCCTTCAGTGAAACCTGAGTATCTCACCCTGCTGGTAAGTGGCACCACTGCATACATCAGCCTGAAAGAGCTTGGAAAGCTGTCAGAAGGGAAGAAAGTTTTGGTGACAGCAGCAGCTGGGGGGACAGGCCAGTTTGCTGTGCAGCTTTCAAAGATGGCAAAGTGTCATGTCATTGGAACCTGCTCTTCTGATGAAAAGTTGGCCTTTCTGAAATCTCTGGGATGCAGTCGTCCCATCAACTATAAAACTGAGCCCCTAAGAGCAGTCCTGAAGCAGGAATACCCAGATGGCATTGATGTAATCTACGAGTCTGTTGGGGGAGCCATGTTTGACCTGGCTGTGGACAGCTTGGCCACCAAAGGGCACTTGATAGTAATAGGATTCATCTCTGGCTACCAGAGCCCTACCGGACTTTCACCAGTGAAAGCAGGAAGTCTGCCAGCCAAGCTCCTGAAGAAGTCTGCCAGTGTCCAGGGCTTCTTCCTGAACCACTACTTCTCTGAGTACCAGGCTGCCATGAAGCACTTGCTGGAGCTGTATGCTCGTGGGGACCTGATTTGTGAGGTAGATCTGGGACACCTGGCTCCAGAGGGCAGGTTCATTGGCCTGGACTCTGTATTCCGGGCTGTTGACTATATGTACATGGGGAAAAACACTGGGAAAATTGTGGTTGAATTACCTCACTCTGTCAACAGTAAGCTATGACAACAAAACAATGACATGAACCAAAGGAAAAAATCAAACAAGTGCCTCATGCCTTAGTGAACATAAAATTTCTTAAAATAAAAGTAAGGTGTTAATGATACCACTCTTAATTCTCTCTCTTTCTCTCTCTTTCTCTGAAAAAAAATAAATGTGCTTCAATAAAAGTTCTCTCTATAGCTAAGAGGTAAAACGTTTACATTCAGTTCTTTAGTCATGGATGGTCTCATTCCAGATTTTATTGTTCCAGGGAAGTAAATTAATTCCTGATGCAAGACCTGATCGAGTCAGTGTGTCCCTAGCTTGATGAGATTTTTAAATCAGTCTTGAAAATAGCTCCCAAGTCTTCCTTGCTTTGGAAGCGTCTGCTCTTGTGTTAATAAGTAGTTCACAAATGAGAAGCTAGCACAAGACAGCCTTATGCTTAGGAAGTTGCCTTTTTTTTTCTATAAATCACTAACCAATGATCTAAATAGACATTTGGGGAAGAATTCTCCAAATTTAATCCTGTTAAGTTACTGGAAAGTGATTCAGGAAACACAGATATATCTTAAGAAAGTGCCCATTATTTGATGGCTTATATACACATTCATCCTGGTAAGATGTCTGGGAAATGAAAAATGTCCCTGATCTTCTAAGAAGCAAATTACTGTTAGAAATATATATACACAAAGTGGGTTTTAGAAAAGGAAGCTACAGTTTAGAGCTTTGAAAACTAATATATACACTGAAAGAGTGGTCTGTGCCACACTTCCACAAAGAAGGCTCCTCTGAGGCAACAGCATGGATTACAGAAGGGGGCGCACTCCAATTGCAGGCAGACGATTAAAAACAGCGCACCTCTTGTCCCTGAGGAGCAAATGTCACATAGCTCTGGACATTGTAGGAACCCAAATCATCAAACATCATAGCCACTCGCTTCTCCTCAGGGGCCTTTGGACGTGGAAGGTGCTTTTGATTTCGGGTAGTGGAAATAGAATGGCAGTCAGTTATCCTATCCTCCCGTTTCACTTCTCCATGTTCCAGAGGAACAAGCCACCTGTGCTAGTGTTATGTGGTGGTACACACCTGTCTATCAGCCAGCATGCCCCTTCTCTTCAGAGTCACACCATAGCTCACCCACTTGCTTTTTACTTTCAGTGTCCAAAGGCTGCCTGCCCCTTTCATCATGAAATCAAAACCCCACAGTGCCTTTCTAATCAAAGGTGAAGCCTTACAGATTATTTTTCAGTGCTGAGTTTCAGTACATTGAATGTGTTCAGTAAATAGGAACGCAATTAATGGTCCTCTGGGAAAGTTGGTGGCCAGATTTAATTCTTCTTTCCTTGCATCTGAGGAGCAGAGAGATCCTGCTTCTGAAGAGCTGTTAGTATCTATTTTACAAGATTTACTCATTTCCAGGTACCTAATGTAGCTGCTAGCATGCATGCACAACAATACAATTTATATGGTAAATGGAACCAAATAATGGCTTCACTGAATGTTATGGCCGCACTGAAGGGAAATGTCACGGTAAATAGCTGCCAAATTATGGATCATGCCGAAGTGTCACAACTGCACTAAAGACAAATAGCACTAGAGGCTATTGCACTGTGACGCTTTTGAGTTATGAAGAAGGGTAGCGGCCTGACGCGAGGCTCTTTGTGTCCTCGTCATAGCAAAGGGCTGCAGATATGGGGACAAGAAAGGCTTGTCCAATGTGGTGCTTACTTATTAATCTGTCCCTTTCAGACCTAACCGCTGTAGCAAAATAGAAAGAGACTTTGCCTGCTCTTTGATACACAAACAAACAAAGTGGGAGGGGCAGGTTTTATGAATGTTACTATGCTCAGGAAATGACTGATAATGGAAAAATGTTGTAATAAAATAATCTAATCAAAGACTATTATTAAATTTAACATAGTATATGTCTGAAAGGCTCAGTTGCTTCCCATGCAGATAGATGTGTGAAATGTCTGTGATAACGCACTCTCTCCCTCTGAAAAGGCTTGAGGACTAAGGACATTACCAACTAAATTGCCTCTTCTAAACTGAAGTGAGTCCCGGTTTCTTTCATTTTAATGGGAGGGTAATAAAGATGAAAGACCAACATTTTATCTGATGGATCCCTTAAGCTATGGAATAAAAATGTATTATGTTTTGAGGGAATATACTAAATTCAGCTATGTAAAAGTAAAATTCAAACGCCCAGGTTTAAAATAAAGCAATGTTGTTTTTAAAAAATCCTCATGTCTCTCTGTCCCCAGTCTGAGGAACTACAGTGCATACTGTTTTCATTTATTCTTAGAAAACAAGCATGAACTCACTCATTCAAATAATGCCAAAAATATGTTTGAGCTTTAAAAAATTATTCTGTAAAATGATTTGCAAATTGAGGGTTATAATTGAAATGGGATTATTATTCAAGACTAACCTCTAACAGGAGGTGACATGGTATGAAGGTCCCCACACCTTGGCTGTATTCCGTATCACAAAAAGTATATCCATAATTCAGGACCAGTATCAGCTTTGTTTTAGCGAAGGGACCAGGCAGAGCAGTCACATGGGTGTAAGGTCGATGGCCAGGCAGGGAAGCAGGAACTGCCCTTTGAGAAAGGTGTCCCAAAGATGCCTTACTGTTGGTCAGAACTTCTCAAAAGTCAAATGCTGTTACTCCAACAATATCATTTCTTGTCCCTTTCACAATGGTTATTGCTATTGACTGCATTTAAAAAAACAAAAATCCAGGGACTGGTTTGCAAAGAAATGATGGATGTTTTGCACAATCAGTTCTATACATTGTTATTGTCTGATTGCATCAGGATGAAGTTTGTCAGGAGTAGAGCTCTGTAAATGGTCATTAATATTTCCTTCAGTATTTATCTAAGGCAAGTGCGTGACAAGTAGTGGCTGCTTATTAAAGTGAAAACCCTATGCTGTGTACTTGAAGACTACAGCTAATGAGGATGTAACATCCCCATACCATGCAGGCCTTCTTCTTTGTGTCCCCACCACAAGATGCTGGAAACTTGACAGATGATATCATTTAAGATACTGCCTGCCTTAGGGACCTGCTTCTTGGCTTCCTGTTTCTGGCTTTTATTTGGGTAACATTTATAATGGCCACCCGACTTGTACCTGTAATGTTTTAACCCCTTGTGGAACTCACAAGAGGCATAAATTCAGCAGTCAAGGTTCCCTTTAAAATGAGGCTTGGTGCAAAGAATCTAAATATTTTTCTTGATTACTTTACCACATGTGCATGCTGGTAAATACCATAGATCATGTAAAGTCAGAGGAGCAACATACAGCTTTAGAGAAGACCTGCACTGTCCACTTCTACTGCTAATTTTCTGCAATGTAACAAGGTTTATAAGGGCAGTTCACATGCAAAATGGCCTGGTTTGATGAATTTAGAATTACTCATCTATACTTTCCACTCTTAAATATTTTATTACTTCTAAGAGTCATTTAAAAATTTATGCAAACTTTATTACTTTTGCAGTTCATTACTTTGTTTTGTTTTAGGATTCTTTGTTTTGTTTTCATTTTTATTTGGGCAGGGTTTCTAGAACTAACTTCCCAGTCATGGCCTAGAATGTACTGTTTAGGATCATAGTCCAGATGCCAAAAAGCAGAGCTAGATTACCAATACTGCAATACTGTAGTAAACTTCAAATTCTGTTTCCACTGGCCTTTTAGCATCATATTATTGAACTTATAAAAAGTGTTCAGTGTTTAGTGTGAGACCCTTACTGCTGTTACCATGTGCAAACTAAGGGAAGTTGACCCTGCCCCCTCCACAAGATACAAAAATAATATCAGTTCAAGTAGTTCTTGTAGTAAAGAGCTGATATTCAAAAAGAGTCAATTAGGGTGCATATTTCAATCATATAAGTTTAAAGCTCCTTAATTCTTCACGTTGCCCAGCAGCCAATGAGATATGCTTGGTATAAGTACCAGGCAGTGTTTGCTCTGATGCACTGGCTTTGCCCTTTGTAGACCTCCCCTCTGTGCAGGTCCTGCATCTCAGGAGATGTGGATGAGCTCAGGAAGAGTATCATGGGTCCCACAGCAGTAGGGTAAGTGTTGTACAGAGAACAGTTTGGGGGAAAACCAATATGTGCTTCATGTATGCTAAGAAGCCCTGAGCCAGAAGTCTGGAGATCTGAACAGGCCCCCAAAGGAAGAGCTTCCATTGAAGTGTCTTTCTGCCAACATGAAATTAAAATAATAATGAGAATGTGCCCTGCTCCTGGGTGGCAGCATCCAGTACAAAAGACAGATCTGTGCTTAGAGCTCAGAAAACAGTCTGGTGACATTGCCAGACATTGTGCGTACCCTTTACACACAAAGAATGGGTCAGGGTCTTAGAGTGATTCCCAGCAGCAGTTTGGTGAGTGGAAGGGAGCAAAGAATGTGAGCAATGTGAGTTGTCCCACTTGGAAGCACCTGACCTTGAGCCCTCTATGCCCAAACCCTGGCACTCCTTGCAAGCTCACAGGTGTAAATGCCAGAAGAAACACAGACCTGGAAGGAGTCAGTATCCCTCTCTGGCCTTTGTTAAAGAGATTAGATTGCCCTTTACATTGGGTTTAAAGGATGATCTAGTTCTACCCATTTTACAAATGTACAGCTGAGTCTAGAAGGACTCAGTGCTTTATTCAAAGTCACTGAGTCTACTGGACCCAGAGGCTAGTACACAAGTGGAGTCCCTTCCAGGGTATCAAGAAACTCTACAGTCCCTTTGCCATTGACCAAGGTCCTTCAGCAGATGACTGACAAAGGTTTTGCAGTGACAGGTGGACTTTGCTAAGAACCTTTACATGGATGATATGGCAAACTCAGGAAATGTATCACAGACTCTAATCCAGTAGAGTAGGACTCTAGCTCATTTGATTCTATTGTCTAAATATCTCCCTAGGGGTGAAGAGATGGCTCAATCAGCAAAGTGCTTGCCTTGTAAGCATGACAAACTGACTTTGAGCACCAAAACATGCATAAAAAGCCAGGTATGGTAGTATGCACCTGTAATCCCAGCTCTGAGGAGGCAGACACAATAATCCCTGGAGCTCACTGACCAACCAGCCTAGCCTAATAGGCAAGCCTCAGATCACAGTAAGAGATGCTGTCTCAAAAAAGCAAGATGGAGGGGCTGGAGAGATAGTTCAGTGGTTAAGAGCACTGGCTGTTCTTGAGGAAGACCCAGGTTTGATTCCCAGCACCGACACAGCAGTTAACAACCTTCTCTAATTCCAGTTCCAGGGGAATCTAACACCCTCTTCTGACCTCCACAGGCATTGTACGACACGGGTGGACTTATACACATGCAGGTAATATGCTCACACACATAAAATAAAAGTAATAAATATTTTTAAAAATAAGATGAAGGACTCCTGAGGAATGATACCTGAGATTAACCTCTGACCTGACCTCTAGACTCCACACACTAGCACACATAACACGCTCCCTCAACACAGTGCACCCACATGCACAAACACCTGTATATGCCATGCACAAATTAAAAATAAAATAATATCACACATTTTAGTTTTACTGCTAATGGAAGGTCTCCTACCACTATATCCTTAAATACAAATAATGCCGGATAAAAATTGTATACTGTTTACTCATAGAATGAGTTCACGCTTGTTTTCGCCTATCAGAAACTAGTAATAGCTGGCCACCAGAATCTTTGCTTTCGTAGCTAAAGTTTCAATTTGCTATTCTACCTGAAATCCAATTCTGCATCTTATAGGATACATCTGTGGGGAGGGTGCATTCCTTCACTGGTAGCTTTGAGGTGAAGGGATGTGCCAGGAGGAACTCCAGTGGGCGCAGGCTCCCTGATAGGTTGTGGCAAGACCCTCATACAGATCATAATTAAGGCTAAGAAAAAAAAAGCCAGCAGAGCCACATGACATTGAACATTCATGTCTTTCCTCGTCATTTCTGTCTTTTTTTCCCTCAAACTCATGCATAACAAGCGTAAACTTTCAACTTTACATGAGCAAATCCTTTCCCAGTAGAAGCAGCTCCTTTTACGTTGAAAAACCACTTCCCAGGAACAGCAACAATGTCAGAGGCAATCACGTTTTGTAGGAAGCCTCATTGCTCACCAGGGGATGGTAGCAATAGTATTCCCTCCACATGTGGCTGGAATTTACATTTGGAAATTGAATTGTCT